TTGTAGTATTTTGCTTGTTTGTTTTTATTTCACTTTTGTTTATTTTGTTGTTGAATTTGTTTCTGTTTGTTTTGTTTTTATTTATTTGGTTGTGGAATTTTGTTTGTTTGTGTATTTATTTGGTTGTAACATTTTTATTTCTTTGACTGTTTATTTATTTGATTCTATTCTCTTGTTTGTTTGCACTTACTTATTTGGTTGTAGCACTTTGTTTGATTTTCTGTTTATTTATTTGGTTGTTGTATTTGTATGTTTGGCTGTGATATTTTTTTGGGGGTTGTTTTTTTTTATTTTGTTGTAATATTTTCTGTTCATTTATTTATTGCATTATGAGGAATGGTTATGATTTACCTTTTATTTATTATTTCGTTCTAGAATTAAAGGCTGGTGGGTGTCACATCACTACGTCTCAACCTTTTTATCAGGTGTTATGTTGACATGGTAAGTGTTTCAGGCCACATATTATGTAATTGAATAATTTTTCCCATCACCAGCGTGTTTCATCACCACTCTCCGTTTCTGTCTTTTAAGGCCAGAAGGTCAAATGTATCAGATGTTCAGAAGTCAGTTCCTGGCTTTCTCCATCTATCAGAGTGAGTATAATCTACTAGCTGCTCAGTGTGGTTTGTGTCTTTTGTTTGTTGTTATATTGTTTAATGCTTCTCTGGCAGGTTGTGTGCAGTTTCTTCAGTATTATTATCAGAGCGGCTGCTTGTATCGGATACGGGCTCTGGGGGAAAGAAACCAGCTGGACCTGACAGTGGGTAAGCATTGTGACCGATTTGAATCATGGGAGAAATGTTGACCTGGATGATGTCAACGTTTCACCCTGCAGATGTTACATGTTTGGATATTTGGCCTGAAGTCAGAGCCCAGACTAACCCCTCATGTTACTCTTACAGAGGGCTTTCAATCATGGATGTGGAGGGGGCTTACATTTCTCCTTCCGTTTCTATTCTTTGGCCATGTGAGTATCAGTGTTTAAGTGTTGCCTTTTTATTCAACTTTACAGTCACCTTAAAAATAAGTTGTCTGAAAGGTTTCATGCATTTTACAGTGTGACATCTATGAAGATCATAACATGTAAATGTGAGGGTTTTAAACGGAATGTTAAAAAACATTTTAAAAAATGTACTGACCCTAAACATTTGAACAGTAGCATATATTGATTCAGTTGACAGTCATATAAGATAAATGTGTTGGTTTTCTCTCCTCTGGTCAGTTTTGGCAGCTGTACAATGCTGTGACTCTTTTTAAGCTATCTGCCCGTGATGACTGCAAGGAATGGCAGGTAAAGAGAGTGACTGAAGCTGCCAAACATCACTATTATTGCTTAAATCCCCAAGTATTAATCTTTTGCACATTGCTCATCCTGTACTGTTATTAATTTTGCCAGTATTGCAGATCGAATTTGCATTTAAATATTTAATTTTTCAGGTGTTCATGTTGGCCTTGACATTTCTCGTCCTGTTCTTGGGAAATTTCCTCACTACTTTAAAAGTGGTCCACCAGAAGCTCCAGAAAAACAAAGAAAAGGTCAAAAATAACTGATGAGACGCCAACTGGAAGATTTCATACGCCCCGTGGCCAGTGAAGAACTCACAGAACTGAACTTCAGAGCGCACAAAACTGTTTCGTCTGTAGGAGTCGCGTCCCACGAGCTGTTTGGAGAGGGTTGGAGGTAGATGTTGACGTCTCCCCAAACTCGTTCCAGCAGTGAAAATCAAGATTTCGTGTCACGTTGCCCTATTGTCCGCCATGTTGTTTTTGCTCTTATTTATGCAATCACAGCAGTTAGAGGGTAACGTTTAGGGTAGAAACCACTGAAAACCTTCAGACACTGTATACTCAATAAGCGAGGAGACTTCAATTCACTTGTTTTGTTCCTGTGCATGGATCTGTTTACAATAAGCCACATTTAAACTTTATGCAACGCAGCAGGAAGGCTGTAGAACTGCAGGTGCTCAGCTCACTGCAGCATCTCAAAGGGATTTGTTATGGGTTTTTTTTTAAGAAGCTGGATAGTGATTAAAGTACTTGTTCTCATACAAAGCATTTTAGCTGAAGCATATGTAACATATTTGTGGGAAAGCATTGAAACAATGCAACTCTAAGGGAAAGGTGTGTTCTGCAAGTCGTGGCTTGTTAGTACTGTTGAGCAAGGCCAAATTCTTGAATTAAAGGAATAGTTCATCCAAACATCTAAATTGAATTTTAAATTTGCTCATCCTCAGACCATCCCAAGATATAGATGAGTGTTTCTTCAGAACAGATTTGGAGAAAGTTCACATTACATCACTTGCACACCAATGGATACTATGCAGTGAATGGGTGCCATCAGATTGAGAGCCCAAACAGCTGATAAAAACATCACAAGTAATCCACACCACTCCAGTCCATCAATTAACAATTAATTAATTATCCATCATATTGCTTTCTGCAGTGAAAAGGTTGCTTCGTCTGAATCAGGAGAGAAATAAGCACGGATCAAACACTGTTTACAAGTGAAAACAGTCTAAAACCTGGATGGACTTTTTACTTAAGGGAGGAAGCATTATTATGGGCTCGTATTTTGACCAGAAGAGACTGTTTAAAGTTAAAACATCTTAATGATGGATTTGTTTCTTACAAACATGCAGCTTTTTGTTTCACAAGACATTAATTGGTGGACTGATTACTTACGGATTATTGTGATGTTTTTATCAACTGTTCTGACGGCACCCATTCACTACAGAGGATCAAATGGGTGTCCAAGTGATGTAATGCTCAATTTCTCCAAATCCGTTCCGATGAAGAAACAAACTCAAATACATCTTCATTTTTGGGTCACATGATATTCCCTGACACCTTGAAAACTGGATTTGTATTATTAATGATGGCAATAAAGCTCCGATAACACTTCATAGTACATAAGGAGCATCCCTTTTCTCTTGCCTTGTTATTTTCATGTGTTTGGTAGTTGTATTCAAAGGCATAGACATGTAACTGTAAGAATAACAGAAAGTCAGAATAACAGAAATGCTGAACTATGTCTTGCATAATGTGAATGAATGCTGTTATAATTACATCTACTGTAATAGGACGAACCAGTATGTGTGTTCTGCGTTACTTTTGAATGTGTCAAAGAAAAAAACGTTTTGTTTGTTAAAGCAAAGTTTTTCATCGTTTACCATCAGGGAGTTTGCAGACAAGACCTTTTTCCTATGTGATATTACAGAGACAGGTCACTACAGAAGTTGCATTTGGTTACAGAACGATTTGTTTGCCTTAATGCTCTTCTTTGCCTGTTCACACCTGGTTTAGTTTAGCCTAGAACCCAAGTGTTACAAGTTATTTGTAATTTCATGGGCTCAGTGAACTGTACCTGAAGCGTAAAGCTGTAATTAAAGGGATTTCTCATGTTGGGAAATGCTTTATTGCACAATTAACCACTGCGTAAATCATGCGTAACAGTTGTCACAATTCACAATGTGATTTCGTCAGTGTTTTGTGTTGAACGAAATAACTGCACTTTTTGCTTGAACGTGAAATAAGCCTTTAGACTGGAGGAAAAGGAGGTTTCCAAAGGGCCGATTAGATATTAAGCTGGATTTCTATTCACCTTCTGTTGCTATAGAGCAAATAAATTCAATCTGATGCAATCTGTGTGGCCTCGTGTGAAAATGTATTACTTAAGTCTTCACCGGCAGAGGGCGCAAGAGTGAAGCATGTGCTTCTACATGGTGGGTGAAATAAAGGTACTATAAGCGATTTTTATTTATTATTTACTCGTTAAACCACCATCAAATGAAATGTTCTACCTTTTTATTAGAGCATAGCCTAGTATGTTCCTGCTACCTGACAAATAATACTGAAATGTATGAGCACAAAACCAGTCATATGTAGCACGGGTATATTTGTAGCAATAGCCAACAATACATTGTATGGGACAAAATGATCGATTTTTCTTTTATGCCAAAAATCATTAGGATGTTAGGTAAAGATCTGGAACACAATATATAAAACAATAAATTATGTATAATTATATATTATAATTATAAATAATTGATGTCAATAAAATAATTGACTAACAGTGCAGAGTAGCTTCAATGAAATTATCAGTAAATAATACTGATGATATTTTCATGCTGAAGTAACATTTCATTCTTAGCTTCGTAGCCGTGACAGCAGTATTTGGAGGCTTCCGTTACAGCAGTCGCATCCTGCTAAGCAGGAGTTTTTGCGCTAACCACAAGATCACTCTTGTATTCTGACCAAGTTTGTTTTGCAAAGAAGCAGAGATGTTCACTCATATGTCTGCCTAATATCTGAAAACTGCATCACGCAAAATTAAAGTATGTGTGCCGATGTATAACGAATATGCATCTGTAAAAAGAGGTACAGAATTTTACTACTGACATTTAAATGCACTTAAATGCATATATGCACAATATTTGTCTTAAAATATCACGGGTTTATTTGTACAATAATGGTTTTCAAATGATTCAACACTTCCTGGCATCTATGCGAGATCTGAAAAAGTTAGAGATACAATCCCAGTACTGAAAGAAACAAAAGTGAAATTCCAGTTAAAATGTTGTAAATGGTGGTGGTCTACACATAGACTCATATTTCTACAACTCTCCAGGATTATTTGTACACCATAGGCCTATTTTTTTGTTCAGAAAGCTTTAAAGACTCACAAAATACTGTAACTCAAAGTTTAAAAACTGCAACTATTGTGTAAGTCGATAACATGCATTGCACAACAGAAACATGTTACACCCAGTGTACTTCAGTTAGGTGTGCATTACCATTATAAACAACACAGATTGTAACCAAATTTAAGATGTGACCATGTGATATATGTATAGTCATCCCTGAGACATCAGCAGCAGGTTGTCCATCTCCTATTGGATCCACAATCATGGCAGACCAAATTCCATCAAGTCATCTCAGTAACACCAGCAGAAAGATGTGGCGTGGACCCTTACAGACTTATCACACACACACACACACACACACACACACACACACACACACACACACACACACACACACACACACACAAACGACCTCTGTCAAACAGTTAAGCCTTGCTTGGTGGACAGATTGTGAGAAAACGCACACCACATGTCCTGAAGAATATTCCTTTGAGAAGGCTTAAACAATTGTGAGAAGCTTTGCAGATGTTTCCGGAATGTTTACAGAATATCCTAGCTCATATATACAAAACTTGAACAAGTGTGTTCTTCTGGCAGTGGTCACAGAATGGTGCAGCGTTTCTTCTTCTTGCAGCGATGTCTTGCTTTAGCCCTGGCTGCTAGCGCTCGCTTGGTTGCCTCTCTGAAAATGTCCTCTACGTTTTCTCTATATTTAGCCGAACACTCCAGGTATATCTCAGCGTTCATTTGTTTCTGGATCTGTTCACCCTAAGAAAGAGATATGAAGGTTGGTTATTCAGTTAACATATCTCTATCTGTGTACACACACACGCACACACAATAAATAAATATATATATACACATATCTACACATACGTGTATACACATATCTACACATACGTGTATATACATATCTACACATACATATATATACATATATACATACATACACAAACACACGCACGCACACACACACACACACACACACACACACACATACACATGTATATATGTTAATGAATATATTAATATATATGAATGAAATTAATACGTTTATTCAGCAGGGATGCATTAATCAAAAGTGACAGTAAAGACAATGTTACAAAGAACAAAGATTTATATTTGAAATAAATGCTGTTCTGTTGAACTTTCTCAAAAAATATAACATGGTTTCCACAAAAATATTAAGCAGCACAACTGTATATTAATTATATTACTGTATATTGAGTATATTAAATATACAGTATATATTAAATGTATTATGAACTTTCTGGGGAAAAAGTATCACGATTTCCATAAAAATATTAAGCAGCACAACTGTTTTCACATTACTTAACAAATGTAACCCAAAAAGTTTGTGATGTTCTTTATTTTGTAAATCACTTTGGATAAGAATGTGTGTTAAATGAATAAATATAAATGTAAAGCCAACCTGGAGGTAGGTGATGGGCGCCAGATCTAAAGCTTTGAGCTTCCTCATCTTCTCTTTGTCCTTTCGCAGGTCTGTCTTGCACCCTATTAAGACAATAGGGACGTCACGGCAGAAATGACGGACCTCTGGGTACCACTGTAGGGGAACAGGGAAAAAATGTTTGAAACTGAACTTCTTCTTTTATATAAATACATTTTCTGGTCTTCCTTAATGCCGTAATGGTGTACTGTATCTATCTTTAGGCCATGAATGAACAGTCCCTTTGCTGTGCCTTTATTTAAACAGGGCTCGGCACATTCCTCTGAACTGACACGACAGGAAGCTTCCAGAAATACTGTTTGTTTTCAGAGGTGGCCCATCTGTAATCATCTACTGTTCAGGTCAAAGTTGATCAGCTCACAGTTGCCAGCAAACAAAGTTAAAACAGACTTTCACCTGAAAAACACTACAGTTTCATTCTCAACTGAAGGCAAATCACCTTTATCGTGACATTGTCGAACGACGTCGGATTGGTCACATCGTAGCAGATGAGAACAAGGTTTACTTCTTGATACGACAGAGGCCTCAAGCGATCATAGTCTTCCTGGCCTGGCAGTAAACAGATTAGAAGGAAATGACGTCATTATATCACACACTGATACCTGAAAACAATGCTGCATTATGTGGAGCGTTTCTATGGCGATGCTTCTAAACAAGTCAGAGGCGGAGACCGCTGACCATATACAGCATCTTCCTGTATGTCGTGTTTTATGAACAAAGTATTTTGACGAAAAACCGAGATGTGGTAGAAAACCACATCCTGGCTTCAACATCCTGTTCCTGAGACGCAGAGAAGGTCCAGGCAGCAGTTTGGGTCTGATAAGCAGCTCGATTACTGAAGATGCAGTTCAATTTAGACAAGAAAAAAAAGCATTTAGAAGAATTTATCATGGAGAAATGTCAGGGGTTCACCGAGGTCAGTAAATGAATAAGAGATGATTAGATCGATACAAGAATGTGCAACATTCCAAATAAGGTATAAAATGTCTGATGATCAGTGTGATTAAGAAAAATTAAACTTGGCAATACATTCACCGTAAAAATAGCCTAAAAATATAAAAATATATCCTGTAGTTCCTAAATGTACAGTTCTGAAATGTTTGAATACTGAACCCGTTTTCAATCAATTTGGTGCTTCAAAAACATTTTCTTTTATGTAATAATATCTTTAGATATGCACATTTGACAAAAATACATTACTGTTCAAAAGTTTGGAGTTAAAAAAAAAGTACTGTATGGTCACCAAATCTGCATTTATTTAAGAAAAATACAGTAAAAACAGTAACATTTTGAAATATTATTATGATTTAAAATAACTTTTCTATTTGAATATATTTTGAAATGTAATTGATTCATGTGATGCAAAGCTGAATTTTCAGCATCATTACTCCATAGTCAGTGTCACATGATCAGCTATCAAATCAGATAAAAACAAATGGTCACTTAATATTTATGTGGTAACCAAAATACTATGTTTTCAGGAGTTTTGATGAATAGAAAATTCAAAAGAACAACATTTATTTGAAACTGATTTTTTTTTAATAACATAACAGATGTCTTTTAACGTCACTTTTGATCCATTTAATACATCCTTGCTGAATAAAAACTCAACTCCATCCAAAAAAAAAAAAAAATTAAAGAAAAAAAGAAAAAAAAATTAGATAATGATCAAAGTGTGCATGCGGCCTGACCTCAGGGATGACAGCTATGAAAACTATTACTAATGGCCTCACACCCATTTCACTCAACATTCCTGCCTAAATATTTCATCAATGAAGTGTGTCATTGAAGAGAATGGGGCGTTTGGAATCTGAGGTGTGTCTGGCGTCTGTAGACACTTACCTGCCGTATCATACAGATTCAGCTGAATGTCTTTCCCTCCATAGGATACAGTGGTGACATATTTGTCAAACACAGACGGAGCATATTTCTGTTGAACATCAATATAAAATTAGACAAATACAGGCGTATAATTGATGACAGTGCATAAAAAGTTCATGTTTCTTCTATACAAGACACATTTGAAGTACATTTAAGGCGTAGGCAGAAACCAAAATTGCTGTCTGGAAGTGGAAAAACTTGCTGGGGATGTTGTGCAAATGACTGTTATACATTTTGCAACATTTCCTTCTCTTGAAAATGGTTATTTCTGTAACGGTCTTCACAACTGAAGTAAATCTGGTTTACTCACACACACAACAAAGTTGAAAACTGTCAAGTCAAGCACATGAATTTGTACTTTGCCAACATAAAATTGTCATTTTGAGCTTAATCGTCATCTAAAAGCTTACCTCTGGAAAATCTCCTTTGGCGTACACCATAAGCAGAGATGTTTTCCCACAACCCCCGTCTCCGACGATCACAATTTTGAGAGAATCAGTTTGAGTGCCATTGCCGGCTACAGTGCCGTTCTGTGTCATGTCCACACCGGCCGAGTCAGTTCCTCCAACAGGTGCCCAAGTGCACAGAAGTGTCAGGTGAATTCATTGGTGAGTATAACGTGAGACTAACTCTGCCAGGTAAGCATGCTGCTATCCGGTCTCAACTTCCTCCTCCTTTCGCCCGTTTTCTTTTCAAACCATGTGACTGTGTTTTCAAGAACCCCAGCAGATCAGAGCGTGCGACTGTAATTGAGGCTGTTAAACATGTGTGCCTGTCTACACATGGTCTGCACCATCACTAGGCGGGGTACATGAAGGCACTCCCTCCAGCCGGTCAGGATAGTTTACTTCCTAAATACATGTTCATTGAGACAGTCCTTTGAAAATCTTCTCACATTTCTCACATTCTCCTGTCTACAGAGGGTGGAGCGGGACAGGATGTTGCTCTGAATGGTGTGCTTAGGATGATATACAAAAAACATCAATGCAGTGATTATATTAGTGAATTATATAAGAGTGTGACTTTGTTACTAATAACAATTACGTAACTAACAGTGTTATTATTTGTATTACTAAGAGATTTACCCACCTTTTACGTGTTATTTTAGTACCATTCAGATTAATTTTCTTAGTTGTTATTTTTGTACTTCCTGTTTTAATTACAATTTTATGTTTTTAATTATCTTTTGTGTTTTTGTTATTATTATTATTTTAATATTGCTATATATCATCATTTGCTAAACCAAATGAAAATGCTAGCTGAAATAAAATAAGCTTAATTTTTTACTTTATTTTATTTTGGTTAACATTTATTATATTTCAGGTAACAATGTTCTTTATAGTTTTAGTTGTTTAGGTGTTAATAAATCTGCCCATTACAACAACTAAATAAAAATAAATAAATAAATGTATATAAACATTAATTCATGTACATATTTTACTATTTAATTTCACTCTTTAAAAATGATCTGCTTGTATATTAGTAAGAATTATTAAAAACATTAAAAAGAAAAGAGTTACAATGTCAAATGCAAAATGATTTAGTTCAAAATCCCACTTTAAAAAGATTTGCATGTATTATTTTGAGATGAACCCTATGAGACTATTGTGAATCATGTCTCAGTAGCACATCATGGTAAGTTTGGTAAGGTCCTGAATCCTTACACTTTATGTGTGTCTATATATACATATATATATATATATATATATATATATATATATATATATATATATATATATATATATATATATATATATATATATATATATATATATATATATATATATATATATATATATATATATATATATATATATATATATATATATATATATATATATATATATATATATATATATATATATATATATATATATATATATATATATATATATATATATATATATATATATATATATATATATATATATATATATATATATATATATATATATATATATATATATATATATATATATATATATATATATATATATATATATAT